TCTTGTGTAGAATTCTGATGTGCAATTTATGCATGTTTATTAATAATGCTGAAACTGGAATACAAACTCAAGGGAGGAACATTTGGCCTGACCTCCAGTAGATGACAAACTGCAATTTAACCAGTCAAAACGACTGGGGAGCCTACTAAAAAACCAAAGTAGCATAATCTTTTAAAAGGATAAGAGTATGTCTCAGCGAGGTCGCCGAGGTGTTTATAAACATGTGTATGTCTCAGCGAGGTCGCCGAGGTGTTTATAAATAGGGTAAATGGGTGGTGGCGAAGTGAGAACCTATGAAACGAAAATAGTTCCAAATGCTAAGGTGGAATAGCAGTTGCATGCGAGGCGAAGTTTGGGTTTTAGGGATTTTATTCTCCAAATGTTGATTTTAAACAGTAGTATTCTACTTTGTTTGGTAGGATTTTCGTTCCCCTTGTAATGAAGTTTTAATATGTGACTAGTGAGGCAAGAGTTGAAAATTTGAGGACTCATTTGATGCACATTTTTTGTTACAAATAATGCATTTTTGTGTCAAATCACGTGGGCCCCTTAACTGTCACTTTGGTCTTTTTGTCCAAGAAAAGATATGCGCAATTACAACTTTGCCCTTCTGCCTTATTTTCAATTTGGACACTGTTGGTTCATTTGCTTTCCCGTGAAAGTGTTGACGTGTAAATGTAGTAGCAACTTTTTTCCACGGGCAGACAAATTGACTTGTAGTAACGGAATTTTATTACCGTCCATATATACCAAGATTGATTCACTTTTGTTCAAAATTCATTATTCGAAAACTACATTTTTTTCTCAATACAAGTTCCAATAAAATAATATTTTTCATGTAAAATTTTTTTATCCTCATTGGTTAACCACATAATTTCAATTACATCACTATCTCAAATACATTATTCTCTTAATAACGTGCACCTAATGCCAATGGATCAAACAAAATTGTTTTGACGTTTATTTTACACTCAACATGAGCATGTTTTTCGTTAGTACGAAGAATTTTAACGTCATTGTTGTTGTGCCGTATAGTCGCAAAATCTATCACACTCACTTCGTTGCATTTCGTGTGCATTCATTTCGACATGCATTTCGTCTTCAGTGTCAGGTAGCTCCATTTCGGCTACACCATCATTTGTCTTTGCTCTCTCAAACGCCTTAACCACAACTCTAGTACGACATAAAAAATTATAAACACCCATTGTTGCGATGGCAACTTAAGCCGACAATTGAAGTTTAGATCTTCCATTGCTTTACTAGTATGTAAGAAATTGTTAAATTTCGTATATGCAAGTTGAAGAATCTCTCATTTTAGTAGTACAAAGAAATGCTACTAAACTCGTGAGTGCACGTATGATAATTCCTTCTTCGAAGCTCCTAATTTATAGAGTAGTGAATGTGAGATGTAAGTTGTGTTATTTGATTCACCTGTCACCGTAGGTTGTACCAAATCGTCCACACAAAAAAAGGTGCTCGAAATTGTCAAGTGTCTACCTTTTTCCAGCTACTGCTGAAAGATTCTCAAAAAAATGTGTTTCACATCACTGAAACACTGTCCACCATGCATGTATTACTTGTGCAACAGAATGAAATGAACAATTTTAAGCACAACCCAACAAAAAAGCACAATAACATAAGAAAAAAAAGAGAATCACAACGTACATGAGAACAGATACAGAAACATGCTAGTGTCACGAGGGAAATTAGGAAAAACTACAACATAAACAGTACTAGATTTTGTAGAGTCAGTAATGGAGTTACTTTTTTCCCTCATTAAACTGCCACTCAATCCACTCAAATTTTTCGTCTACATCGCACATCACGCTGAGCATATCCCAGTAGCGCTTCTGTGTAAGAATCGTACAGGCGAAAAAGTACAAGGGCGTTCGTCGCTTGAGTCTCCCTGCAGCAAGCAACTCTTTGACGCACTCAACTCCAGCATTTTCTTTCGGCGCCATGAAGGTATTGAGCTTTGCTGCCACTTTCTCGGCGGCACTGTTTGCCCGATTAACTGAAAACAACAACTCACGAGTAGAAATTTTCTTTTTCTTTTTCTTTCCCTTTTTCGAAGTCATTGACAACTTCCTTTTTCCGCCATTGCGGGCTTTGGCAGTGTTCACGCTGGAGTTGCACCTCTCTTCGTCTCCCTCATCACTCGAACCAGTACTCTCCCCATCCACAGGGATGAAATCACTGTCCTCGAACAATGCCAGACCCGTTCGACACAACA